CTTGTCACCAACATCATTTCTATGCATGATAAATGACATCTTACTAGCTCCCCCTCGGAATCTTAACTACTCACTGTATGCCGATGATTGTGCCTTATGGCATACCAGCAGTAATGTAGAATGCCGAACACCAGGCTCTGGATAATCACCCCAATACCTATTCCAAATTCTGCTAAATTCTTGGTCTACTCTTTGACCGCAGACTTAATTGGAAGAAAATAAGTTGGTCAGTTAAATGATAAATATCAAATAACACTTAATGAGTAACTACTAGGGTTGTGCACAAATTTGCATTTTTTTCATTGCTGAGATATTACTTTTTCAAAAGCAACTTGTTGCAAAAAGAAAATTGTCTAAAAAACATTTTTTTGCCGAAATATGCATCGTCTGCTAATTTACACATTAAAATACTGTTCGCAGCGCCATCTCTTGGAATTAGTTGCGATGACGTCATGAGTTGTGTTAATGTCAGTGTTGATAGCTTTTCAAGTTCGTCTTTTGACGGGAGTCTGGGCTCTATAAACATTTCCGATAACAGTGAAGATGTATGGCATGTCTGGTAAGATAGTGTTGTGCTTGGTTACCAATTTGAGACCGAATATTTGTCTGAAGAGGAGCTCTTGGAGTCCGCGGCATTTCAGCCACCAGAGAACTATTGGTTGGAACAGGAAATGGACAATACTGACTGGTAGGTCTCATTTTTTTACAACCCTTCTCTCATGTCTCTAACGTTAGTTTAGTAGGTACTATTGATGAGTCTATACAGCGTCTAGGCTCGCCATCGCTCGACATGATGCGAAATGCAGTTTAGCCTACACTGTAAACAAAACGTCCAGTCTATGTACAGGGTATGCAGGGTGCACTGCATGCTTCCAGTGTGACTGGCCATATTAATTAGATATCAGTGTGTCAGGGTCCTGATCCTGTATAATGTCATCATGCCATGCAAGCTATGGCCATGAACATGATTTAATTAATACAGTTGGGGTTAGTGAAGGTGATTGGCGATTCCTTTGCAGTTTTTCGAAGTCGATCGTACCGAAGAAAATGGGGCCCAGTCCAATAGGCCTGTGATCTGGCTGGTCTGGCCCTAACTGTTAGCAAATTCCTATGCTAAAATACATCTTAACTGTGGTTTTGATTTTTACAGGTGCAAGTGTGACAGATGTGAGTTATGTGAAACTCCAGAGGAAAACATGTGTTGCACAGAAAAGATGCCAATACAGGAAAACATTGATGAATACAACGACAATTTTGGGGGAAACATTAAGTGCATTACACAGCATCCAGGTTTCATATCTAACTGTCTGGATGTCTGGGTTCTGCAGAATGTTTAAGACCATTTCAAAGTGCAACATAAACACAGATTTGAAGGAGAAACCAATGAGTGAGTGTGTTAAATTAAATAATTAAATATATTTTTACAGATACACTATTAATAATATGGATCTCTATCCATATTTGGTGGACAATAGTGCATTTGCATACAAAATATCACACAAAAGGTTCTCATCCATGCATTCACGGCGATGACAAAGAAAATGAACACAACCCATGACGTCGTTCCCGGGTTGGTGGCGCTACTGGTAATATTTGAGTTAAAAGCTGTAGCAGACGACGTTTTGGGCCCAGAATTTGTTTATTCATTTTTTTTTTTTTTTTTTTTTTTTTTTTTTTTTTTTTTTTTATCTTGTGCATATTTGGAGGTACAAGAACATTATCTGAGATGAATATCATACATTTAATTCACATAGTGGTTACTCTTTAATTTAATAAAGTGCATTGCTGAAAATAAATGATCAGTTGATTGAAAGTCTTTACTAATGATATACAAAGCCAGGATTAGGTCTCAAGTAGATTATGGGTCGGTCGTGTATGGCTCGACAGCGAGCTCAACTTTGAAAGGGTTGGATGTTGTGCAGAATGCTCGTCTACATGTGTGTCTTGGAGTCCTGAGTACCTTCCTTCCGACTCAGATGCGGCCAGCGGGCGCTGATAAATGGCTCGAGAGCAGAGCCTTTCTAACGGAAATAGTGGCATAAGGCCCTTTTCCACACGACTCCACGACCTCGAAGAGTAAGTCGTATAGATCTCTATACCTCCGATACCATGACTCAGTCAATTATAGCGCCATGGGAAACTCCTAACTTCACCGTTATGGAAGTCTGGCTTCCCTCTTCCTTTTTTAATATCTATACCGACGGCTCCAAGACAAATAAAATAAGTATGAGGGAGCGTATGTATGGTCGATTGAATGCCAGTTGAGATTCAGACTGCCGAATTATGCATCGATCTTTCTTGCTGAATCGACGACCCACGATAGAATTTGATTCATGAAGTTCACTTACAGCCATCAAATCATTAGAAATCACTAAAAATGAACTGAGTAACATCATCCGTAAGTTACATTGTGGCAACAAATCAATATGATATCCATGAGCAGGCTGAAAAATTTGCCAGGTCAACTGGTGATCTGGACCTTACATATCCGTACATATCACAAGTGTTTTGTTTCCCTTATAAAAGCAAAAACCCATCTCCTGTGTTAATGTGAGTGACCAATTGACTCGCCTAAAGGTCAAATGCCATTAAACTGCCCCCCTCACTCCCAATATAGAAAAGATTTTCCCTCCACAGTGCCCCCTTGTACCACCAACCTTACCATTATCCATATATTAATAGTATGCAACCAATACACCAACAATAAACAACTAAGACAAATATTTCCAGGTGAAAGATAAAGAATTTTCAATATAAAATCTGCTAGCAGATGACAGAAGAAGAATTCATAAAGTAATCACTTTTATACAGGAGACAAAACTTTATGACCTTTTCTAGATTGGAATAATGACTAGGATCCATTGGCTTAATGATCTTGGCTGGCTGTGTAATCATGGCCCTATGCCGCTGGTCGATTGCCAAGAAACCAACAAGCAAGCAAGCATGCATGCGGAAGACAGCACACGGCACTGCACGAGCTCCGGTCTCCCATTTTATCTACGTGATGTTCACTTTTTATCTTTATTTTTTCATGAGTGATGACTATGGGGAGGAATTATTTTATCAAAATTGGGGAGACACGTAAATAAATATATTGGCATTACGTGTTTTCTTGTAATCTTTTCTTTATATACATATACATTTTATACATGAATTAAATCAGAGATAATGGATATAATGACAAATGATATATATACTTTGAGCTTTACTCTTTAATGAAACTTAATGTCTCTAACCAAGACTGAAGTTAATATATAGAAATTCCTGCTTTAATCTTACCACGCCCACTCGGTTAATCCTGCAGAGGTATACTTACTTCTACATTCAGATACACATACACTTTACACAGAATACATCCTCTACACGTCTTCTACAGCAGATACAAGTGTTCTGCTGATTCCTTGCTTGGATGGTGGCGCTCTACCCCTGTGCTGGTTATTAACATGTTAAACGTTACCCAGATATATATAGGTAAACTCAAGGTCATGAGAATACCTTGAGAAGTTAAGGGATCACTAAGATTCGATAATGTGCCGTCCCCTTGATATTATATCCACTTGCGAAACATGCTGCGTCGCAGTGAGGGGCGGCAACATTCTTTCCTCTACATCGTATCCCTGAGAAGAACCGTGTCTTAAGTTTTCTTTGTGTGAACAACTTATCCTGTAATTCTTACTTACCGAGTGATTTCCTATCATCACAATTTGGATCAGCGGTATCACTGGTAAACTGTTCTGCTATTTAGCCGGGGTTAACCCCTCTCTCTCATACGTTATAATAATTCCAGAGCTTTAACCACCAATCTTTTCGCTATTAACACTTCACGAACTTGTGTCATCGCCAGTTGCGACTTTGTTCCTGGTGGTCTTCACTTTTTCTCTCTAATCACAGAGATATTCACAAATCTCTTCGTGCTTTTAAAAAGCTTTTCGAACTCTTTTCCCATTTATCTACGAGACACTTTACTTTTGTAAGTCTAAAGCTTTGCAATGTATCAAGACATTAAGCCGTGGTGCGACCTCTGGCCTTTGTTAGGGTTATAACAGTCAGGATGTTGGCTTCACACAAGGGATCTCGAAAAATTTAGTATAAGTAAAATTACCCTCTGGCCCGTAAGGGGATCGAACCCTCGACATCCGCGTTATTAGCACGGCGCTCTAACCAACTGAGCTAACAGGCCGCATTGCAAATAGTGGTTATCAGTTTTTTCATCCATTATTCCTAAATCCAAGTTCTAGCAGGCATATCATCTACGTTTTTTCACAGTAATGAAATCTTTCATTCACATGACTGCTTGCTAAGGCACGGGGGGTGGTGACACAGAAGTAATATAGTAGATTTTGCACTGCAAAGTATACTATGTTACCTATATTTATTCTCCAAAAGGATAGCATTATGCACTAGAGTCTTGTAAGTACAATCTGCTTCGTGGTTGCTAGCTCTTGAAGCAATACAATACTTGTAAGCAATGCGGTCTTGTTCCTTGCGACCGAAGTCATTTCCAGGCCATCCCCACCGTTAGGACAGACGTCCATCTGTCCTGGGCTACTGACTTTAATTTAGTATGGGAATAAAAACAATACACAAAAAAAAAATATTTGTATGCTGCAATTGTTATTGAAGAAAAGCCTTTTTCCGCAATTTAGCCTGTTATATAAATCATAGCACAACCCAAAAGAGAAAGACAAAAATAGATAAGCTCATAATCCAGAATAACTGATGTCCAATTCAATGCCTTATATATCTAGAGGACATTGATGCTCTGTAGAGCAGTGAGAGTGCCATATCAAAGTTCACGCGTTGTGCCTTGATAATCTCTTACCAATTAGATTTTTTTTTTTTACTAACTTAATATCAAATTAAATTATTTAATTATTAATACATCTATGAATTACAGTGGTCAACACAGTTTTGTCAATTTAATTTTCAGTAACTGTAAATCACTCATCTTTTTGTTCTAATTGAATATTGCGTCATTGTCCTTTACACAGCGCCTCCCTTCGAAATCAGCTGTTTTGATGCCAAACAGAAAAGGCAGAATTCCAGCAGGCTGACACAGGCGATTCTGCTCTTTTATTTTTCGTAGTGTGCTCTATCCAGAAACATTATAATGACTATGACGGCGTGTTTAATCTCCAGAACAGGAGAATTTATATAATGTATAGTAGTTGAGAAATGAATCTCCAATCAATGTTTCGCGACTTTAATCCTGGGTACGTCCTCCTATTTTATTTGTTTCCCA